CATTATGGGTGCATATACACTGACATACCTGTTGGATCTGGTGTAAACACTAGTACAGGACACGGAGAGAACATTATGGGTGCATAGACACTGACCACGCACACGCCTTCTTGAGGTATAAATCGTTCATACTGTCGACAAGAAAATATTGTCACTGAAAGAATAGCCTCCCCCCCCCCCCCACCACCAAATTCAACTACAAAGAAACATATAAAGAACTATAATGAAAGTCTTTTCGTAACAGTCAAACCACCTCAAGCGCGAACACGTAGAGGTCATTAATGACTTTATTTTTGGATTCTTGATTTCATTATTCGATTCGAACATTCATTAATGAAAACGAATCTTCAATATTCAAAAATAATAATAATTTGAAAATTCGATTAACTTGGCTTGTAGGCTCTTGTTTATAGCGCAAACAGAAGGTAAGTCATTAATATTACATATTCCTTGCACAAAAAGCTGTTTTTGCATTTCAGTTGCATATATGCTTGGCTTTTGTATATGCCAGGCTTTGAAGATTCGTTTTCAATAATGAATGTTCGAATCGAATAATGAAATCAAGAATCCAAAAATAAAGTCATTAATGATCTTTACGTGTTCGCGCTTGATGTGGTTTGACTGTAATTGAATATATATTGGACGAATTAAAAATTGGATTAAAAACCGTTCGAGACATGCAAATTTCGTTTTTGCGATAACTACAATAGCGTTCTATTCCTACACCCTATAATATAATTTATCAAATAGAGAGAATATGAGAAAAATATGAAATGTCCTTGGCGTGATATTTTGATATTTGTCTCTTATTCTCTCTATTTCATTACACGAACGCATAATTTATTACTAATATAATCCTCAAGGCTGAAGGATAATTCACGAACCTAACGCTTCACTTTGCCTTTAGGCTAAAAATATCATATAAAATAAACTATTTATAAATCTTCATATCTTTATCGTCATATTAATATTTTTTCTTCTTTGTAGACTATTTAATATTAATATTTAATTTCAAGTGAGATAATGTATGGTTGTTGTTACGAAACCAGCTCCGTGTTTTTCTTTATGCCATATGTTCATCCTCGTTTTTTACTGCTCTTTTTATTTATCTTTTTTTTAATCAAATGATTTTTATTGAAACAGCTCTCAGAAGTAAAAAAGATTATCAAATTGTCGCAAAACAAACTGTCTATTCTTATTCAATATATTTTTTTTMAATTTCCATTTCTTTACTTTTTTATTTTTTATTTTATTTAAAGTGCTTATAAGCCTTTGCACAATATTTTCAGAATTGGTTCTTTAGATAGTGGATAGTCGATTGTGAAAATATTTCGTCATTTGAACGTCGGGTCTTTAAGATACGATGGTTTAGGCCCCGTCCACACGTATCCGGAAATTTTTGTATCCGCAAATTATTTTTTGTGGATACGAAAATGTTTGCGTCCACACGCAGCGCATTCGAATCGTTTTCACCGTCCACACGTATCCGTTTTCGTGAAATTTGCGGATACGGACACAAAAATTTGCGGACACGTGTGGACGCAACCCGTATCCGCAAAAAAAAATTTGCGGATACAAACATTTCCGGATACTTGAGGACGGGGCATTATATTCGCAATATGTTAATGACTATAACGTAACATAAGGGATCATTTAATATACAACACTGCACTCTTTATGGAATATAGTATTTGAAAAGCATCACCCTTTTACTCGTGACTCACGTAAAGGTTCTTACAAATTTGTTTTCAAAAAATGTCCGGCGTTCGATATTAAAAGTTGCCACAAAATAACTCAAATCCCTTATGTTACGTCATAGTCATTAACATATTGGGAATATAAACCTTCGTATCTCAAAGACCCGACATTCAAATGACGAATTATTTTCACAATCAACTATTCACTATTTAAAGAATCAGTTCTGAAAATATTGTGTAAAGGCTTATAAGCACTTTTAAAATTGTTTAAAAAAGAGGTTCATCCTCACTGAAGTAACCACAATAATAACCTATCTAATAACCTGTACCTTATGTTTGTCTCCTGACGTGTGCTGACTGAATATTGGACGAGCAGAGAACCTTCTGTAACCACAGTGAAAAACGAGACGATCCTAACGAAAAGACATTATCAGGCTGAAATAAGTACAACTAAATTCGATATAGACTTCAGCTAGAGAGAAAGAAATGTTATCTCCTTCACATCTACAGAACTGCACGTCGCAAATTTCTCTTCCCAACCTCCCCCTCTCCCCCCCCCCCCCCCCCCCCCCCCCCAGGGCTCTATCTACTCCACGTGTTTATTTTTGGACATTTTCAAATCTATGTTGAGTTCCATTTTTTATTTTCATAATATGACTTTAAAATAAAGTGCTATTTGGTGATTCAGGGATTATTAGGCAATTATTTATCATTACCTTGGCTGCTCCCATCAGCATATTTTCTCTTGGTATACGGACATGATCAAGCAAAAGGTAACCATTATCTGTCCCATTGAAGAAAAGTGAAAGTTTCGGACCTATATCTCCAATTTTTATGCCTATAATTGTTGAAATAATAGTAAAAAAACAAAAACAATCATGATTGATGAACTCACAGATTCTTGAATCCAGCAAGAGATCCTGCTAGCTTCACTAACATTATAATACAAGTCCAGGAATCAGTGAGACCCAAGAGGTGAGCCGGAGGGCACTACTGCTGTGCTACCTTTGATTATGGGGACTTTTATGAGGTCAAATTCAATTTAAAGTAGATATTGTGTATATGAGTTGCTCCAGCAAAGCTCCAGCAAACTACACTCAATCTTGAACAAATGGCTGTCAGTTCAACACCTGGGGGCGGGGGGGGGGGGGGGTACTCCCCTATATAGACTCTACGGGGAGGATCCCCTGAACAGGTTTTGGTTTTCGAGCTTCTTGTCATAACAGGGCATGCAATTTCACTCAAGTTCAAAGTTCGTCCTGAGTTTCCTGTCATATTCAGGGTTTCTACTTTGATATTGACCGAAGCTGGTTATCATGGTTGTAAAAAAAATGATACAAGAGATGACATGATAATTGAAACAGGTACTCAATGCAATAAATTATATCTTTTATAGTTATCAGGGTCTACAAATTTGAGTTTTTTTGTCATAAACAGGGTACCCCCCCCCCCCCAAAGGGTTCAACACCAGTTCTTGTTAAATTATTTGCTATTAGTTCACCTTCTTGGTTCACCCATTAGCTTCCTCTGTTATTTTTACTTAATATATTATTTAGTGTGGCCCGTACACACTATCCTAAATTAATCATTTTCTAAAATATTTTGACCTGGAAGAGGCTTATGTGTCTTCATATCTCTCAGTGGCACAATAAAGAAGTGTATTCCATGATCTTGACTGTCTATGATCAACCTCGCAACAGTTATAGCATGCGTGGATGAATGGCCCACTGGAAGGAAAATATAGAAGTTAAAAGTAAATAATAAAAGGCTGCATATTTGTATATCTTTACAAGGACTTGATATAGTCCTTTGTGTCATTCAGTAAATATTGCAGCAGTGATTCTCAAATACAGACCCATTTGTTTGTCATTTAAATGGTTTGCATTTATTTAAGATCAGACTCATTTACAGTACAGGCTTGGCTTCATTTAAGAGCAGCTGATTATTAACAGACGGAAGTCGACTGTAATGTCAAGAATGTGCAGCTCATACACTATGCTTGAGATGCCAAAAACAAAAATTCTTTTATCACTTACAGCAACCAGGCCACCACTTGCAAGCAGTGAGAGAAGGACTGTGCATAACAAACTCCTGTGTTCTCTTGTCATATGTAGCTGTTGTTTCTAGTCCTCTGACATTGGTTCCTGGTTGAGAAATACAAATCAGTATAAAGAGAGAGAGCAGGTCATCATCAAAGTTCACTGTTTTCCTAATCAGATAATAATGTAAAGAGAAAAGAAAATGACAAACGACTTGATAGGCAGTCAGAAACAGAGATTTAAAAAAAGGAAGAAAGATAGAGAAGAGAGAGAGAAAGGAAGAAAGCTAGAAAGAAGGAAGGAAAAAAAAGAAAAGAAAGAAGGAAGGAGAGTAAGAAAACATAAGGGGAAAGAGTGGAAGAGAAATAAAAGCTGAAACTGCAGAAATAAACCAAATTGGGAAAATAGGAGAGATTGAGGGAAGAGAAAACATATATTATGCGTATTGCAGTTTTGCAGCTGACAAACATTGAATAATTAAAGCTACTTTGTCTGTATGCAAATTGCCAGGATATCTATTATGAAATGCCTTATGGCAGTTTAACCTTTTCAACTTGACATTGTTTTTAAAAATTTACATGACTAGTGCAATTACATGTACCCCTAAACTACCATAGGATGCATATCTTATTCATGTAATTTACCATGTCCAAGTTCTGTCTGTGCATATGTACCAACAATACTGTTATGTTCTGCCAGCGGTAACCACTTGTCAATTTGTTCCTTTGTTCCAATATTCTAATATAAAATACAAAATGTCAAACAACTACTAATTCAGTTCAGTTAATTATTTGATAAATTGAATACATCAATCAATTGACCCACAAAACATATATAAATGAAAGGAATGACTAGTGAAGGTATGGCCAAGTTAAAACTAATTTCACCAGCTATCATGACTACTGGTAGCTGCCACAGTGTTTAAATTTTTGCTGATTATTTACAAGCAGGCAATATGCATACTATAAATAATACTATATTAGCACTAAGTACCTTAATTGCAGGAATAAACATAGTATCATTCAAACTACTGGGTAATGCCGATCCAATAGACCTAATAACAAACAACTACCAATTAATATCTTAATACATTAGGCTGAGTTATGTTTGAAATGAAATTTTCTCATATTTCACTGCCGAATCTTTGAGAGTGTGACCCCTTTTGAGTAATTTCTTGAAATAATGCCAAATTAAACTGAAATTTTTGAGTGACCATGAGTTTCAGATGAAATGGATGCTCACCCCCATTCCACACCCTGCAAAATCATTTGGGATTCTTGTCTTATATTACAATACAACTGATGCAATAAACAGTTATTACTATAATGTCTCATGCAACACAAATTCAGCCAATAATAAGAAAGCGTTCTCATAAATGTGGTAATATTGGCAGTTGCCTTGGAAACATACACGGGGGATGACTAGACCTCAAATCGAGACTGTTTAACACTCTTAAGGTGTTAGCTCAACTGTCATCTCACCTTTGTTCATATATACCCTGCACTCATGCAGAGGAAGACTCTGCTAATAGGGTACGTATCCTGTTTGACATTGTATTATGCAAGATGTTCAAAGAAATAACCTCCCCTATATATCCACAGGCACAAGCTCTAAGTCTATATGACAAACCTTCGACCTTATACCAGACTCAAATGAGAAGAGTAGTGTAATTGTTATTAGAGCGGGTTTGGTATATGCATGAGTGGGATATGATAAAGCAAATCCGTAGCTGTACTGCAGCATACACATGTAGCTGCAATGCATAGTTACTGCAAACAAAACTAAACATTATGGGTGGATCCTAGCCTATGTTGTCGTGCTTTGAAGAGGGGGAGAGGAGGGGGCCTAGGTAGGCTAGGTGGATCCTGAATTACTGGATATGCTTACCACCCATACGAAACCGCTCTATTTACCTTTTCAAAATTTCAATTTCCTCAGGATCAACTATGTTATGCTTCCTTTGGACATCCAAAAATTGTAACCCTCTCTTTAAGGATCTTTCATAGGATTCCTCTCGACTATCAAAAAAATTGTCTGCATTGTCAAATTCTGGATCATTAATGATGATGCTTTCTGTTGAGAAATTAGAAAAGAAAAAAAATTGATTGGTTCTTTGATATAATTTGGATTCATTAAGATATTTTGGGGGGGAGGGGTCATGGCACTGATCACATCCACCGTCACTATAGGATGTTTCAAGGGGTGAAGCTTTTTACTAGAAAAAAAATTAAGGCTTTTTTGTTCATCTCTAAGGAGGGGATGTGAATAAAACAAGACTTTAAAGACTTCGAAATGATTGTGCAATCTGTGGTCTAAAAAGAAAATTTGTAGAAAATCACAACAAAGGTAAAAATAAACACAAGCTTGTGTGCGTAAATACTAAAGTATGTACTTACCGAGATATCGGCGTCGAGCAGTTCTAGCCGGTCCTTCGTCCAGGAGATTCGTAAGCTCTTCGACATTGAAAGACGCTTTTGATCTCTCACGAGCTAAGTCTTGGTTCATTTTTACGCCTTTGAAGAAAGTTAGTGGAGAAATCAAGGAAAGCAAATATTTTCTAACAAAACCTCTACAAATCTGGTTTTCGGAGATTGTCGTAAAGGTAGCGAATCCTTTACGGTCACCTTCGGTATATTTTCGGTACATGGTCGGAGGTTGTCAGCTGAGCTCATAACAGCTGTCACTCATCGTCACTCATAGTCTTCGTTTCACTAATTATAATCTCGTGTAGGAAGTGTACCCAACTAGTTGACATCAAAAGAATCAAATACAGAAGCCAATGGCCATGATAACAGTCTTCTTTACGTTACTGAGGAAGTTTTACGCCATTTTTGTCCTTTGTCTTTACGTGACTACAGTCGATAGTCAGACCAAAAACCCGGAATTCCCTGAATTTCCTCCAAAAATCATACCAAGTGACAACCCTTCGATCCCAACAGGGCATCTCAAGCCATTTGGATACCAAAGACCTCCAGATGGCCATGTAAAGGAATACAAGACTGTACTACATCCTAAAGAGTTTTGGAATAACCATGTTAGTCAAAATAAACCAGCAGTCTTTCGACAGGCCGTCTCAAAATCCTCAGCAATTTCAAACTGGGTCGATGAATATTTGAAAGATCATTATGGAGATTTAGACGTTTTAATTGAACTGAAAAAGGAAAACCGAAGTTTTTCAGCTCAGAGGACAACGTTGGGGACTTTTATTGATAATTATAACGAAAAAGATGTGTATGTTGTTACGGTCTTGCCTGATCCCATGAGGAAAGATATTCAGGTAATTTTAGTTGAACTGGAAAAATAACTTGTTTTTTCTTGTTAAAGAAATGTTTGTACGTCATGCCTTACTGTTGGGTAAACTGAAATTTTCGCTGACAATAAAATGACTTTTTACTTTGGAAATTATATTTATAATATTTAGTGGAATATGAAAGAGTAAAAAAACTACTTTAGTTTGAAATTAGAAAAAAATGCCATAACAACCAGCCCTACTGGCCTCGCTTTCATGTTATACCTTCATTTTAAAATTTATTTTATCTTTTTTCGTGGATACAATCAACACCATATCTTTTTTCTTTAATTTTTAATTGTCAATTTATTGAGGTGAGATATTATTTTACAGGTGCCATCATGTCTATTGTGTGGTTCGTTTGTGGATTATATTCACGAGACAAACTTCTGGATGAGTTCAGGAGGAACGCGGTCTGTCATCCACTTCGATGCAGATCATATTTTGCACTGTCTTGTTGCTGGGCAAAAAGATTGGATGTTGATTAACCAGCAGCACGTTGACGATCTATATATGGAAAGAAGGGTAATTTTTGATCTATATACACTCAATTGAAGAATCATTGTTGGGTTCAGAAACATAGAACATAAAAGCTGAGACCGAAATGGCACATGGGAAGTACATTAACTAGATGCATGCTGTGACCGGCAACCCATGGCATCATCCACTGTTTTTAATACCCTTTTGGCATTCTAAACCAACTGCATAGATGGCGCAAATGAATGAATTTTAATATAATTATGTCATTTCCCATGTACGGTCTCAGCTTTCATGTTCTATGTTTCTGAACCCGACAACGATTCTTCAATTGAGTGTATTTGGCATAAGAAAATGTAAATTTTTATATTTCATCATATTAATACTATAATACATCGAAATTTATGCTCCTGATATAATATTTTGATTCATTATATTTTAAGTTTGCCCAGCATGAAAAAAATTATGCTATCATTGTTCAAAAAAAAAAAAAAAAAGAAGATTTTCTGTTCTGAGCAATCATCTCCTATACTATAGTATAGGAAATGGTAGTGGTTAGATTTTAATTTAAAACATATTATGTTTGGTAACCATGCTTACCACCAATATACAGAAATATGTCATTGATTAAAATAATCAACAATATATTCAATTTATTTTTAATTTATACAATTTGCCAAAGGCAGGTGAAAACACAATAGAATTCTAAACCAGGAAAGTAGTGTACATAACATATTCTTGTGTTTTATCTTATTTACTGACAGTCAAAGTTTTCTGGTTCTGGTTTCACATTGATTGATCCTGACAAAGTAGACATGCTGGAGTATCCACGAGTAGCCAATGTCTCTTGGCAATATACAACCTTACAACCTGGTGACTGTGTGTTTCTGCCATCTGGTATGAATAATAATTAATTATTGTCACATTGTCAACTTGTAATCTGTTAATCAATCTGACCATTGCACTCTGAGAACAAGAATATGACACTTTTTTACAGGGGAGGGCAGTGAGATTTTAGGGAGGACGGGTCATTCAAAAAATCAAGCTCATTAGGGGGTAGGAGGGCATTCAAAAATATCCCAGAAAAAAATCTCAGCACTTTTACGATAAAAAGAATGGAAAACAAGAAATGGGTTAGGCAAAAACAGAGGGTGAGATTTTTGGTATGCTTTAGCAAGCAAATTCAACCACACCCTTCCTGATAATAGATGACGGTCTCATAAATTACAGCAAAAAGTATTTTTAAAATGGTTGTTATTTCTATTAGCTATGTTTCTGTTTCTCATACTCAAGATTGATTCCACAGTCTTTTGTCTGACAGCAGTTATTTTAATTTGATATATAAACTTAATGGTTATTTGAATGGTTGTCTTTCAAAATCAATGTCTTGCTTGATTGTCTTCTTGGTAACTCAATGTAATGTTTTTATTTTTTCAGAATATATCCACCAAGTGAGGTCTTATATCAGAAGTATCTCAGTGACAATGCTCTTTACCACTGAAACCAACAACACCTTTAATCCAAAAGGATGTGACAAAGCCGATTTAGACTCTGTTGTCACACTGGACAAGGTCAATGTCCATTGGACGTACAATAAGGGAGATAACTTCATAGAGATGGGATATATGAATGTGGAAATGCTCAGAGAGACACTTTTAACAGGTTTAAAAAGATCAAAGACAGATAAACTCACACTTGAAGGATTTAAAAATTTTTGGTCCCTTTCAATGGATGAAGACGAAGAGGGGCCTGGTCCAGAGGTGGCATTTGAAAAGCTTTTAAAATCAGTGAATAAAATAAGTTACTTAACCAAAGAAGACATAAAAAACCTACCAAGGGATGCTCTCAAAGAGTTGGCTAGAGTCATGGACCCTCCCCACGGACCTAAAGAGGAAAAGAAACTAGTGGATGATGACTTGGATATAAGAAAAAGTAACACTTATGACTATAATGAAAGTGAAGATGAGGAAGATAATGAAAAAAATCTACGCATTGAGCTGTGATTACTATCTATTTTGTTTGTTATGATATTTTTGATGCTAATGAAGAAGAAAGTTTCCTCAAACGCTAGCACTACGCAAAAAAAACAACAAAAAAACTTGTCCTTAACACTGATGCATACAAGCTTCAGCTAGAATGTTTATTGTACAACACAGTACCTTAAAGTCTTGCTCATACCACAATGAAATATAATAGATATAAATAATTATGAAACTTTAATATAGAATAAAGATCACTTGTACAGATGGTTTTAAAACTGAAAAAAGGATTCAAGAAAGAGAAAATAAAATGTTTTATTTTATTTTATTTATGTTTATTTTATTTTTTAAAAGTTATTTAACATAGGTGTATAGACCCTTTGCATGAGTCCCGAAGAGAGGAATTGTTCTGGGGGACAAAACAATAGGCTGTCTTTTCTTTAAAAAAAAATCCATTGTTTTGTCCCCCAGAACAAATCCTCTAGGGATTCAGTACAAGGGGTCAATACATCAATGTTGGACTTAAAGTGCTACTACGACGAAAATC